CACCCACACCCACGCTCACACCCGCAAAAGGCTTCAATGCAGTTTTAACTTCAATTATTGTTAAAAATTTCGAATTGAAAGATACAGTTTTATCGATAATTCTTTGAACTTTTTTTTCTGAAATAGAAGATCTAATCAGCTATAAAAAGTGGCTGCACGATACAGAAGTTCACACATCGAATCATTGAAAATAGCAATATCGTTCGGTACAAGAATGAATTGATGTCGTTTAAACTTACCATTTGTATTGTTCTGAATGACGATAATTGATGAATTTAAATAGTACCATTTTAGTAGAAATTTTTTCCCTTAAGAAATAAATTACCCATGTTTGTTATCAAAAATTATTCACTCGATTTCCAACTTGAGATCGATTGATTAATGACACATACTGGGGAAAGAAATAACGTTTTTTTTCTTATACTTATTTTATTTACAGAAGGAAATTATTCCGATGACTATCCATCGATAAGAACAGCAATACGTTTTTACTTCTCTGCAAATATAAACAATTCTTTCCAACTTGCGAAGATTTCATTCTGACTCATGCTGGAAAGAAAATTACAATTATTTTCTTCTTGTTGATTCTCTAAAAATCTATTTGAATCATTTTCGATTGTAAACAAGAATACCACTGTGTGCTTATTCATGATCATTATTTGGAAAAGGAAAAAAAATCTGCATATATGAATCAAGTAAAAATCGAAGAATTAAAATATATCTAATGTCTTGATTCGACTATGAATAAAACTTCAAAAATTTCGAGCAAAACATATTCGTAAAACAATCGATGTTTATAAAAACATTAACAAATTTTTTTATTTTCCATGTATAGATGATTATTGATCAAAAATGTTCATTCTTTTTTAGATTACTTGGAAAAGAAAATCTTTGAATATAAATAAATCTCGATAAACAAAAGAGAAACAGTTAATAAGAGAAGGAGCTTTTATGTGTAAAATGAATCAATTTCTTTATGAATTTTAATATATCGAAAGCATTAAGAAGAACATAAACTGTTGCACTTTAAAAAACAAATTTAAAATAATTGATTATGGACAAATATTTGATATTGGTAATTTTGGTATTCATTTGTTATTATAAAATGGTGGTGGATGAAGCATGAAAAATGGAGATCCTTTTCGTATAAGTGGTCCCAGAATGAATGATGCTGTAAGAAGAAGAAATGTATGTGTTAATAACCATCCAACATGTTCAGGAAATTGAATTTTCATATTTGCTTCTAAACCACAAACAATTCCATGTAAAACAAAAAATATAAATGTATAAAATACATATGATAGATCATCAAAACTAACAACAACTATATGAACATGAAGAAGACTACTAATAAGAAATGTTGTTAGACCAGCAATTGTTGAAGATGAAAGTTCCGAACGAATAGGTTCAAATATTGATTCTTTTAAAACTGTATCAACCAGAGCCCCAACCAGGTCACTAGGCCTGCCTGGCCTGTCTACTATTTTATTCAATATGAAAACTTTTCTCGCATAAATTGAATTTAATTCTCGAAAATAGATTTAGTTGCGCAGTGTCCAAGGATGACATTTAAATATGACGATTTAGATAGATGCTTGAGAATTAATATTGAAAATAGATATAAATAATCCAATCAACTATCAATATGAAGAGGTTATCAGCACAAAAGAGAGGCTCGATAGTCGATGAAACCGTCCTATGGAAAGATTTTTTCTACCCAAAATTATTAAACAAGAGTTGCGAAAGTGATCGCTAGTAGAATGGGCTCTGCTACACCTGTTTACAATGTACTCAGATCGTTTGAAATAGTTAATAAGTGTATTATATCCGACCGTTCATAATAATCAGGTCTATTTAACTATCAACACGATAGCTGATTACCCTAATCTTCATGTAGTTTGACATGGATTATTAAGCGCTCCAAAATGCTAAGAAAACATTGGAGAAAAAAGATTGATCAATGAAAAACGTCAGAAGAAAACATTTCTCCAAGCATGATTTCAGTGTCTTTGATTGCTATTTCGTAGATTTCATTCAGAAGCACGGTTTGGATAAAGATTAAAATCATCTTGAGATAAGCATTTAATATAAAGCAGATTAATGAGAATTTTAAATCTTTTTACAGATCTTTTATCGTCGAAAAAGTTCCCTCCCAGTGCCCCTCAGGATTAAGTTAAAAAATGAATCGCGTCAAAAAATAATTTCACTAGTGAAAAAAGATTCTAAGGGTGCGTAATGACACTACAACAAAAAATAGCGCTTGTCTAAACCCAGCGGCGGATCTAGGATTTTTTTGATAAGGGGCGATTCGATAGACATGGGGCGATTTTGATCAAAAAGCAAGTTTTGAAGTTTATTAGTAGTAGAATGCACTCTATTTTTAAGACTTTTCTGCTGGGAAAATCCAAAAATTTTTGTTTCGAATGGGGGCGATCGCCCCAAGCGCCCTCCCCCTAAATCCGCCACTGTCTAAACCATCAAAACACTGCTTTAATGAAATTCATGGTTTTTGATTTACTTGAGTGGGGGCTCGTGGCTTTTAAACGATAAAAGGTATATTAAAAGATTTAGAACTCGCATCAGTCAGCTCAGTGCTGAATACTGATTCATAAGATGATTTTAGTTTTTATCCAAACTGTACTTCTTTTGATCGAAACCTACCAAATATCAGTCGAAGCCACTCGAAATCATGTCTGACAAAGCATCATCTCGATGTTTTCTTTTCTTTTCGAAGTGCTTGAAAATCTCTGTCAAAGTGTTTGAAAACTAGTTTGATCGACTATCATAACGATAGTAAAATAGGCCTAATTATCATAAACGGTGAAATATAGTATGCTTATTAACCATTTCAAACAAAATGAGTGCAGCGTTAATACATGGAATGGGGCTAGTTCTATTAATGATTACTTTCGAAACCTTCGTGGAATAATTATGCATAGAAAAAAAATCTTACTAGGCGGTAAATTTCCTCGCATGTCAACTCCTCTTTTCACGTTTTTCACGATTTGCTCTGGGTCGTTTTTTTAAATCTCACTTAATTTAGCTAAAGTTGAACGGTTTATTTCTGTTTTAGATTTGGTAGTTACTGCTCATGGTTCCTCTCTCGGTCATAATACTATGAGTAATATTTTTTGTCCTTCAGATTTATCAAAAATGTTTTTGAAGAAAAAACAGATGGTTTTTCTCAATATTAATGTCTTTCTATTTCTTCATTTTGTTTGAAACTAATACTTTTCACTTCATATTTAATGTAAAGTAAAACCTTACACCGTCAACGTCTCCATAATGTGAACATCTCATTATGGTGAGCAATCGAAGTTTGTCCTCAGCGATATTTGCTCAAAGTCAATCACTTCTTAGTGAAAGCCTCCTGATAATGGAATATGAATGTTTTTTCTGACTTCAAAACAACTAGAAAAAACTTTCTGAGGTCAAATTTTTTAGTTCTACTCCTTTTCCTATATGCTCTTGTGCATAGATAGGAAAGGAACACTTCTGTATAGTGAACACTTTTAAATATTTTCTTGAATCTCTACATCAGAGAATTTTTACTTGTGTCATCTAAATTGATTCCATTGACTTTCTGGACTTTCTATGAAGTCTAGTACTTAATTATATCATATTATTATAACTATATTGGCTTTAAAAAAGTAGACAAGTCAGGCCTGCAAAAAGTGGGCCCGGTTGGACTTCTGGTACCAACTATTCTATTGTATCGTTGATCCCAAATTTCTCTTAATGATAAACTAAACAATGGAAAATTGGTAAATGATTCAACTGTATATTTATCTCGTGTTAATATACGAACAAGAACAATTTGAATATCAAGTACATATGATATCGTCATTATTGTAATATAAAACATAAAAATTCTTTCATAATTAATTCGTGTTTCACAATTCATTGTCCATCGATACATCCAATGATTTATTATTAATTTTAATAAAATTAAGAGAAAATAATATTTAATTGTCCATTCATCTCTTTTGGATTTTGAAGGTAAAAGAGGAAATAAAATCCAAAGAGTTTTCAATAAAAATAAATGAAATGTTAAACATTTCTCTCTTGAAAACATTGTTAAATCACATAAACATATTGATATCATCCAATAAACGGCTAGTTGTATTATTGAAGATGCACTATACTGATGAAGATTCACACAACTAATATAAATCATTAATATACTAAAATCAATCGAACGAATTAACTAATAACATATTATTATACAGGTATTCCAAAAAGTATTCGAACACCCACACACTCACCTACATCCACGCCCATCTCTGATCGCACAATCTTTTCTTTTCCTTCACTGACTTTACTTTATTGATATTGGATAACGATGCATAGCGTGTACATTGTCTCTTCAACGATTCAACGATAATACAAGGGTCACAAGTTTTATGCATAAGAAGAGAAAGACAAACAAGAGAAAATTTTATCATATAATCGTGTTATTCCAACTACGGGATATCGGAGAAATGTCACGAATGAAAAGAGATCAAGGATATATCCTTTGTTTCTAATCATGAAATGAAGCGAAGAAAAAAAGAATCAAGAAATTGATTTTCTCAAGAGAAAGACAACAGTAGTCGATATTGGAGACCGACTCGGTTCGGGTTACAAAAATTTGACTCATGTCGAACACTGCTACGAGGTAGAAAATGCTTGCATATGTCCATTCATTGAAATCGAACATATTTATAATTCTAAATCAACAGATAGTAATTGAACATGTTGAAATCAAGATTTTTATTTGATATATACATGATGAATATATTATTGTAATCGTGTTAGAAAATATTTCTTATTTTTTCTAAAATTGATTGATACTTCATCTGTTGAATTTTATTCTTTATTTCAAATAGCACTTGTTTAAATAAGAATAAAACAGACAAAGAAAGCTGTTTGATGATTATCAGTGATAAAATTTGTTGCACTTTGTTCGATTTAATATTTGAAAGAGTCTAGACTGATTCCTTTGAGTGTTTCATCAAATATTTTTTTATGAATACAACTTTATAAACTCAAAAGTTTAATAGTCTATGTGGATGATAAATTTACGATTGTTAACATACAGATGTCATAAGATTAATCCTTGTTCTTTCGAATATAGTAAATCATTTTGATTCAATAGTTTCCTATTCGATATAGTATGTAATTATTCTACTGTTGTTGATTTTTTCGATCATAAGAAGAAATAATCAGGAGAACTGCTTATATATCGAGAGTACCATCGACTTTCACACTAAGCGACTTTTATCTTGGTTCAAAAAGTGATTGAAAAAATATAATTGAGTGGACCAACATCCAAGTGTTGAAATCGTTGGAAAAAAACTGACATCAAGTGATGTGAATGTCTCTTGAATCTTATTTGAAAATACAGATGAACGTCTTTTGCTTTAGAAATTACTCTTGCTCGGACGCATTCTAATGTTTTAGTCAAATTAATTTCTAAAATAATGAGCATCACTTCTTGTCGTCTTTTTTAATATTAAAAAAACGACGGTTTTATCTCATGAAAATATTTTCTAAAACAATGTTTTCAATTTCATAAATCGCATATATCCATTTGATCTATATATGTATAAAGAGAGAGACGTTAACTGACACTATGCTACTATCATTACATTGTTTTCATCACTTTATGTCTAATGGAAAAAAAACACAAGATAACGATGGCAATGCATATCAAAGATATCAATATGAAGAAAACAGATAGATAGAATTTCGCTACTGTCATCACTTAACTTTTATCAACTAATGTATAAGTGAAGATATAATAAGACGACGATCTTCGTATCTATTAATCAAAAGTAACCGAGAGAATCAACATCAGAAGTGATGGTGCTTCCGATTTTCATATTTATTGGTCTATTAACTCAAGTTCTATCTCAAGACTCTGCATTGAACTCTTCTGATGGTATTGTTATACATCAAGTAGAAGTACAGACAAGTAACATTGGTCGTATTAAATATGAAGATGGTGAAGTAATTCTCTATCAAAATCAGCGTAAGCCAACCGATATATTTTTCACCCCATTTCCTCGTGTCAATCCTGTGAATAGTGAATGTCACGAGAACATACTAAGTGGACACGTTGAAATGAGTCTCTCTATCGAACTTTATACTCCTCTACTTATCCAAATTATTCAAAGTTACATGAAACAATACTTTCCCAAGATATGCAGCGAGAATTCAACATGCGATGCCTCTCTACTACCGATGAGTGCTATTCGTCTCGTTCAAAAAGGTCTTCGGACAGACAAGAGTCGACAAATGTACACAGTCAATGATGAATGGCGTTCAAATACTCTTCTCCTTCAATCGATCGAGTTCGTTATATATACAGTGAATCAAAGTATCTGCGAACATCTTCGTTCATCAATTGTTCATCAATGTTATCTATCTAATTTCGAAATACACTATTCTCTTCATTCAGAGAAGACAGTCGAACGACAATTGGAGATTAATACTGAACAAATTACTGGAACATCCATGTATAATCGAATTCTATCGCAATTCCCAAGTTCCGATACGATAGCACTCACTGGCGGTGATTTTAAACAATTGATCAGTGAAGTTTCTGACAGAATTACTATGAAACTGCGTGTTCAAGAAGGCTTCGACAGCCAACTACAAGATCCAATTACTCTTGACAAAGTACTTGAACGACAACTGCAATTTAAACAGGTCAGTACATGATGAAACTACATCACGGAACGAATGTTCTATCTATATTTAATTCATAGTATCACATTTTGGGCTTGTCAATCTAATCTTAGAAGAAAATTTTTCTGAAAACTCAAGCTCATTCACATCTATCGAACATAAATACTCAGATAACACTTAATTCAAACAATAATCACTCTCTTTTTCATTGTAGAGTTATGCTACATTAGACATTAATATTTTAAATGAAAAATGATTGTTTCTCAAGAGAATATCTTTTGTTAATGTTTCTTTCATTTAAGTAAAACAGAAAAAATAAATACCAAAAGAAATGATTGACTCTAATTGATATTGACATAAACAAGATCTAAAAAAGAGTGATTGTTTAGACTTGATTTCTAAATTAATATGCAGTTTTTCGAACAAACTCTTGAGTACATAATTAATAGAATACTGAAAAATGTATTTCAAACTATGTATATTAGGTTCACTTGAAGAAAGTAGAAGATCAACTCTGGAACTCACTCTATTGGACACAAGATCTAACTCGACCAGATCGCTTGGCTAAAGCAATCAATACAATCGTTCGTAAGAACTCAACTGATAGCAATCATTTTCTCTATGACAGTCAAGCTGCTAAGAATATTCATAAACTCGCTTTGACTCAACATGATATTGATCGATTTGAACAACTTGATAAATTATTAGCAACTCATGAGCATAGAAAATCATCATCTGGATCTGGTGCAAGTCATTCTGGAGGTGGAGGTAATTTGCATGTGTTTGGAAGATTTAAAATTGGTGGTGGAGGGAGTAGTAGTAGTCAATCTCAATCGCACCAGTTCGAAGATGATCAAAAAGTGACTGATTCAATGCATGACAAGAAAAACAACAGCAATCATTTGAACGTAACTAATATCGAGTCAAACAATGACACACAATGTGTGTTTTCACGTGATCAAGTTGAAAAGTACTTAAGTGATCTATCTGATCATATTCATCTAGAAGGTGAGATCATTCTCCCAAAACCGATCAATGCTCATCTAATGAAGTTGAGTACACTTCGAGTCGAAACAAAACTTCTCTCACATACTGTTCTCGTTCGTACTCGAACCAACGTACACGTTCTACCTCTGCGGTGTCCATTGAAGGAGACTAGAGCGTCAACTACTAATACGACGAATCAATATCGCTGGCTTGATGACAAAGTCGAACAGCTAAAAACGACTATTGAAAAACTAACTAATCAATTATCTGAAATAAGTAATCAGATGTCAGAACGTATCACCCAAGTTCAACAACAATGTACAAATCAAGTGTCTGAAGTACAGGAAAAGTGGATGAATAAAACAAATACTTTCCTTCAATGCGAAAACAAAATTATTGCAATCAAAAATACAATGAGTCAAGAAAACAAGAAATTAGAAAAGAAAATCACTTCAATTCAGCACATGACCATTCGAGGTAAAGAGTTTACTAAGATGATTAAAGCTGAAACATGTTTCGGATGCAAATAAATCATAATATCTTGTAGAATACAATTTCATTACAGGAAAAATTAGATCGCTACATATTACGCTTCCCTTGATGTAAATATTTTCATCAAACGAGTATCAGCCTAATAACATTCTATGAAATCTTCCATGTGTACAATATAATTTGATTATTTAAATAATTATTTAATCATAAGTGTGAGAATAAAGTCTTAATTCAACATTTTATGTACAGAGAGATGAGCTATTTTATTTATTGAATATATGTGTTTAATTTACTTAGAGCAGTCCAAAAGTAGTGGCGGAGGTTCGATAATTCCTTATAAAAAGCTTTAAGAAACTTTCTTTCTATATAGTCTGATAGAAAACAGAATGCTC